AGAGTGTAAGCGAGACAGGGGATCCTTTAAAATTCGAAATGAAGGATCAAGACGTGATAAGATAGTAAGAAGTGAAGTAAAAACGAATTAGATTAAAAAATGTAGAAAAACTGTAGTATATTATTCTCACAAGTAGATTTTTTAAAAAATGCACGTTAAATTTGCACTTCGTGATTAATCAATTTATAACCTCGTTGTATGGTATTATACCATATAGTTGTTGCAACACAACCAGCAGTAGTCATATGGTCAAGAAATCATTACTTACATCTTTATACGTCACCTTTTGGGTTACGATCATAAAAGGGCCTCTGTTCTAAACCACAAAGCAATAATTTTATAATAACTTTTATGCATTTAACACAAGTCTGAGTTTAAATTAACTTATTCATTGTCATTCTATAGTGAATTATCCTCAGAATTGAAATAGAAAAAAATTAGTCAACAAGAGCAGATTGCAAAACTTCGGACTAAGAATAAGAAATAATCAAAGAAGAATAAAAATAAGAACCAGCCAAAGTTATGACGAATTTTATAAACTGGATCTCTAACTTGCGAATTAAACAAATCAAAACTATGACCAAAAATTTCTCGACGTTTCACCGAGCATTCGATTACACATTTCAATACTTAATTGTAGAGACTATTACACTTTTGCTATAATAATCGAAAAACCACACTTCGTGGTTGTTACGTTTATGTCACGAAGAAACGAAATGTCAAGCATTTTACTATGCCATAGAATATGAGTAATTTAATAATTTAATACTAAACTAGTAAAGACTTATATATAATGCAATTTTATTAATTAAAAATTTAATTTACTAGAAGATATTGATGCTCACAAATTAGAATTAAATTTAAAAAAATTGTAAAAGCATAAATCAATCTATTTTTCTACATGTGAAATATATTAATCAGTTCTACATGATGTGCTTCTCTTTTTATTAACATGAATATTATTTTTAAAATCAACCAATTTCTTTTCCTTGCAAGTATATGCTGTACAATAAAAAGTATTTCTCATTAAAAATAAAAATAATATTTTTATGATCTCGGTTAAATTCGTCTTAACACCCTTAATGTCACAATATTATAATTGAAAAGTCATAATTCTATTTAAAAGCAGAGACGCGATTAAAAAATTATTTACGAAACGTTTGTTATTTATGTTACTATTATTTATATTTATGCCGTTATATTACCATTTATATTTATATTACCATTACTCGATAACAAAATTAGTGTAATTGCTTTTCACCTCGTTACATAAATAAATCAAAAATTATGCGGCTCATTAGAGTGAATATACTATATAATGTACTGTAGTAGGTGTTTCTTGCAACTGGGTTAAGTCATAGCGCGAAAGAATATGAGATATAACAAATTTTCATAAGCTAGAGTTAAATGGAGTTGAATAATTCATGACCTGGTATATGTCTCTACTCCGGAAGTGAAGACGTTTTGGAGATTTAAGGTCTCTCTTATTTTTTTAGGTAGCGTTCTAAATTTTTTATGCACCAGTAGATGCATCCTTTTATTCTTTATAAAAAAAATATTGATACATTTTATATAAAAATTTGGTTTGTTTAGCTGACATTTTATCCTCATTTTTTCCAATATCGTATTTGGAAAATGCTTTGAATTTTTCCGAGAAACATTCAAATATATTACATGTCTACATTCAAGCACAGCTGAAAAATCCGAAGTTGAAGTACCTTCTAAAACGAACAATTTACGATCGAAGTATCCCAATAACTTTTTATATAAAAATAACATAAAATGATGTATCTATATTTGATGCATAAAAATATAGTAGTCTTGTTTAAAAAGAAATGGAGTTGAAATCAAAACCTTTTCACTTCTGAACTAGACATATTCCACAATATGTACGACTCGATGTCATTTAATTTTGCCTACTGAAATTCTTATCTATATTTTTCCGTTTCAGAATCTATGCATGTATGTAATTATGTAGAACACCTAGTATATACTCAGAATATTTGGTTTTGAGATACTGTCATTACTAATCTTTTTTTTTAAATTTAGTACAAAGTATATACCAAATAAATCCATACTTAGAAAACATTACTTGGAGGATTGTTATAATTTAACTATAAAAAGATTCGTAATAATATCGATAACAATTGTA